ATACTGTACATAATTGTATGTGCTATACTTTTATAGAACTAGCAGTGCAGTAGGTGTGGTTGGCGTGTTTACATCAACATCACCACAAGCTCCTGAGTAAAGCAATAACAAGCTATAGGAATTTTTTAACTCCATTCTAATCTTATGGAACCACCATTACATATTCAGTTTGTCCTTAATAGACCAAATTTTCATCAAGAACATATACTTAAAAAAATAAGAATATATATTAATTCTTTAATTAAAATGATATCACACATGCTATTTTTAAACTATTTTGTGAAATATAGTACTGAGTGATCTATCACAGAAACAAAGAACCGAGTATCACATGTTCTCACTCATAAGCAGACCTCAAACAACTATCGTAATACTGTAAGAAAGCAATTGGCAGTAGTGGTAAACTGCTGGGTGTTGGGGGGCACACCTCATCAACAAGGATACCTGCTTAATGAACATTTGAATACCTAACCCTGAATTGTACCCCACATCTTATTAAAAATTAAAAAGAAGATGGGATCCCAGCTGAGTATTTTTCTACTAGTTTTCAGCATTTTTAACTGATTGTATTGCAAAAATAATAGAAATATATAATTAGTAATAATGTTTTACAGAAGCACTGGGAGCTATGAGGGAGACAGTAGAAGTGAGAGGGGATGACCTGGAAAGGGGATAAAAACTCCAGTGTTCTCTGATAGAAAGAAAACAAAGGGATCTTTCAAGAAAAAAAGTGATGACTGGATTTTAGTAAATTATTTTCTTTAGTATTATTGCCTAGTGATCCCCTGTGCTATTTCCACTTCATGGAATATGTTTGCTGGATCATTTTCTGAACAGACTCACATATAACATCTTCACTCCAGTGCCTTTCTACACAGAGGAAAGCATTTTCCTAACCTCAGTCTCTGTCTTCCAGCTCTTTTCATACCTCAAGAAAATCAAGACTTTGAAGACTGAACCTAAGAAGTTTAAAACAATGATGTACAGGTTTGTCCTCATTATGATCAGTTTCAACATATCTCACAGGAGCACACCATGGACACAGCCCTCAAAAGCCAGAAGCACATGTTTGTCCCATGCTGGCAAAAATTGCCCTGTGTTGGTATTAATTGCCATAATACTAACAACTCACCTTTGCAAAATACTTTGTCCTTGGCACAGTTTTGGACACATATAAATTCATTCACTTCTCTTAATGCACACTGCAGGGGTTGAATGAAGAGTGAGAACGGTCTTTCTCATCTTGGTTTTTCTTTAACTCCTTAGCCTTTTTGGGTTTCTGTAGTGTGGACACTACCCAGAATGTATACTATATTCATAACATTCACCACTACGACTCCCGCCCAATAACCTGGAGCCAATGTTAAATGTCCTTCAATTAACAGAGCTATTTCCTGCCCTTCCTGACATTAGTCATTGGCCCAGGGACCTAGCAGAGTTTTGATTTCTAATAGAGGATCACAGAAGGCTATACATTTTTATCAAATGCCCCATTTCCAAGCTGAGATTCCAAGCGTATATTCTAATTTTGAATAAATTTAAATAAAAATAAATTTTTTTCTGATAAATCGCTCATTTCTGAGTGTTTCAGTTGACCACCTGGCATCCAGGAAGATTAGCTGTTGAATTTCTAAACAATATCACATGACTGGTGATTAGTTAGTACACATGGGAATGGTCAACAGTTGTTAAATTATTGAAATACATAATGATTGATAATTAGCCTCTGCCTATTCCTATGTCCTACCTCATTGTAGCTGCCTTATTCTCTTCTTTAGGACACCCTGGATCTCCCCCAAATCCAGAAACTAAGAGAGTAAATACCTGGCAGAGCAATTAGCAAAGCAGATGCATGACTGTTGTCCATTCTGATTGATCAGCATCCAAGCCACTCAGATTATTAAATATCTTTAATGAATACATGATTCAAAATAAACCTGCACCATTATGGTGTTGAAGATATGATACACCTGACTAACATAAATCCATCTAGCTGTTTAAACAAATCTAGCCCAGTGGTTCTCAAATGTGAGCATGCAGCAGAATCATCGGGAGGACTTGTTAAAACATACAATGTTAGACCCCACCCTCAGTGATTCTGATTCAGCAGATCCAGGGTGGAGCCTGGGACTTTGCATTTCTCACAGTTCCCAAGCAATGCTGATATTGCTGATTCATTGATCCGAGGATAGCTCCCTGTTGGAAGTGCTCTATCTCTAGAGCAGTGCTACTCAAACATCAATGTGCACAAGAATCTCACAGGAAATCACGTAATACAGATTTTGATTCATGGGGTGGAGCCTATGATTCCACATTTCTACCAGACACCCACATGATGCCAATACCTTTTTTTGTTTTTGTTTTTGTTTCTTCCTCCTTCTTTCCTTTCCTTTAATTTCCTTTCTCTGTTTTTTTGTTTTTGTTTTTTGTTTTTTAGACTTTTCAAGATTTAAAATTCTCAGCAATCTATCCTGGGTTAAATTTTTAAAAAACAAACCCAAAAAATGCACCTCTGATTTCTCAAAAAGAGACTCCACCCAGACTGTCTGGGAGCTTCATTATTCCAATAATGAAGTTAGAAATGAGTCTAAGAAAATATGTGTGAGTTAATGTTAGGGGGAAAAAGAAGGGAGTTTAGTGCAAAAGGAAAGCCTGGATTGCAAAATATATATATATTTGATCAGGAGCTTTTTTCCCAGGACTAGGAATTTGCCCTGTTTACCGACTAGGTGCTCACGCTGTCTTGTGCACTCTCTCACAAACTCAATCTCTCTCTCTCTCATTTTTCTCCCTGCAAAACATTTTTAAAAGTTTTGGTGAATCCAACCATTTCCTGAATTTTAATAGTGCTTATTCTAGTTGAGAATAAATATACCTGAGTCATCAGCTTGTACTCTCCCTGTGCTTGGACCGGACAAGCTTCTTAGCAAATTCCATTTAAAAACAGTCTACAAGCCCTGGTGCTGAAAGGCAGAGGTACTGGACCAGTTTTGCTTGACTTCCAGAAACCCAGAGACATGGCAGAAGTTTGTTGGTGTAGTAGTTGTGTCTGAAAGTTAATTCTGAACTATTTTCTTTCCAAATGCAGTGGAGACAAGTTTAAGAAGAGATTTTTCTATAAAGATGGAGGGTGGAAATGGTAGATGTCTTCCTGGTACAGAGAGAAAGGGAATTTGCTCTGAGTTCAGTTCATCCTGTGCTAAATGGCTTTCTAAGAGCCCTGCATATTTTGGCTGGCCCCATGTTCCTCCCTAGGTGACAAGTAACCCAGACTTGAATTCTAAATTAATTCTAGATAGTATAAGTTATCTAAACTTACTGTACCTTAGTTATCCCATCTGTAAGTGGACACAATTATCTTACCTAATTGGGTCCTTGTAATAGAACATATAGGAAAGTGATGCTTAGAACCAAGCCCACACTTTGAAACAGCGGTTCTCCAGTGGGGCAATTTTGCCCTCAGGAGACATTTATATAAGACATTGTATAATAGTTATCACCACTTGGAGATGTTCCAGACATCTAGTGGGATGATGCTAAACATTCTACAATGTACAGAACAAGTCCCTATAACAAAGAATTATAGGCCCAAACATTAGGAATACTGCAATTGAGGAACCCTGCTTGGAAGATGTTCAGTTTGTGTCAATATCCATTTCTGAAGGAAAATGAGAGATAAGAAGGAAAAGAAGTAGATGAGGATAAGATCTTCAATATATAACCATAAATGAAATTCCTGGCTGTGTTGGTGAAAACATCCAAATCAGGAGTCTAAACTCAAATGCAAAACAGGGTCCAGGCAAGCACAAAAAATAATTAAAGCACTCCAAGATCAATATATAAATAAAAGGAGAGACAGAAAGAGAGAGAGAGAGAAACAGGCAATGAACAAAGTCACTAGAAATACTTTTTTCTTTTGTAAATTTTTTTACTGATGCATAATAATTGTACATATTTGTGGGTAAATGTGATATTTTCATGCATGCATACTTCATGCATGCTATAATAAAAATAATTTTTATTATAGCAGAAGAAAAATAGCTGCATGCCCACAAGAAAAATGGCTACGCATAAGATCTACATATAAGATCACACATATAAGAACTCCACCTCAAGTTCCCAAAGTAATAAAAAATGATGGGAATGAGGGTTAACTGAAACGAGTATTCTCCCTTTTGGGGGCAGCCACTATTCTCCCCACCTGAAAGACAACACAAAACTAAAGGCCCAGAGCGGGGTGCATAGGAAAAGGGTTTGACTTTTTTTGTTTTATTATAGAACCCGTTCTCATTTTTGGTTGTTCTTGATGCCCTGAAGATTTGAGGAACATTGGTCATGGCCATGTTTGGGTTTTTCTGACATTCAACTCTGAAAAATGATAAATCATCAAGTGCAAGGCTCAACAAACTGCTGTTGTTTTTGTATAGGCTACCAGCTGAGAATGGGTTTTACATTTTTTAAAGATTGTAAAAACAAGGAACATGCAACAAAGACTCCATGTGTCCCATAAATCCTAGAATATTATCTGACCCTTAACCAAAATGTTTACCAACCCTTGGTCTAGTAAATAAAGTAATGTTTCTTTACTTTCAAGATAGGGCCAAATAACAAAGTTCAGGGAATCTATGACTCATTAAGCCAAATTTATAGGAGACTTATAGAATTAAGGTTTTAGTATTTTTTCAACAGCAAAATTGTTCTTTCAAAATCCTCTATGAAATTTCTTTCGTCTATTTAACATTACTTTGCTTACTTTTTATTTGGTGATTGGCAGTGGAGGTCAGAGAAGGAAAAAAGATGTGTGGGAATAGGTGATAAAAGATCAAAATGACATAGTATTAATTCTGCATACAAGACCATTAATTTACTGATTCTTGGCTGGCCACAAGTTAACTAACCAAACATGGCATACATGTGAAATTAAATGCTAAGTCTGCCAGTGTTCCAGGTTCTGAGATGACATGCTTAATGACATCATAGAGAAGGTACCCTTACATTCCAGGAAGGATACTATAATTAATGAGATACCTAGAGGGACCCAAAAGAACCAACAGGAGATTTTCGTCAGCAATTCCCAGGTGTAAATCATGGTGCAGATTATTAAAGACACGGCAAGTATTTATTTGGCTTCATTGAATATTTCAAGAATGGCCATCTTGAGAATAGATTTTTTTCAACTTTAGGGATTGTTTTCTTCATCCAGTATTCCTTCATTGCTCTATAGGGGAGATTCATCTTGCTTCTCAAGGGATGGCACTAGCTAGAGAAGTCATCAAAGAACAGATTGATCAAGGGTTTTCTCCCTCCTTGATTCTTATTTCCTGCTCTGACTCCAACTGATCCTAGTCCTGCTCCTAACATAGTCCATGTTTTATTTGGTCCCATGGATTTCACCTTAGTTGTACCTCGAAAATTCTTTGAAAGTAAGAGTCTATGTCTTCTCTCTTATCCAAGGAAAGAGAACAGAAACCCCAGACACACTTATGGAATGGGGTAGGAAAAAACAAATTAAAACAAAATAGCAACATAATTGCCAGTAGTATCAATCATCCCATAGGAGGGTACTTTATAAAACCACTTTCTACCATTGCCTAATACTACTGTCACAAAAAAATCTAAATTCATACATAAGACAGAGGTGATTCTTGATTTAAAAAGAAGAAAATTGACTCTAAAATTGGCTCTAAAATTGACTCTAAAACAGAGGTACAAGAGATACCCCTTGCTTAAGGGGTAGTCTGGGCATTAGAATCTAGACTTTTGATGCCAGGCCTCCTCACAGGAGGGCAGGAGTTGGTGGGTGAAGGAAATGAGTCTCAATTGTGAGATTCTCTCCAAATGTGGCTACACATAGATCACAAAAATGACATTGACTAGATTAAAAGAAGTCATTGGCCTGTAACTTTGATATAAGAAAATGCTTTAAAAGACCACACATTTGCTCATGCTTTTGTCACTTTTTTTATTTCAAGAGATTTTATTACAGTAATAGAGTTGCAAACTAGACAGAGGTAGGTAATGATATCTCCCTTAAGGTAATGATTTCTCCCTTGAGTTTGCTATGGTTTAATACAATAACTAGATTCCTACCAGGTTTTTCCAGATTTCACTCCCCACTCAATTTGTATGTTCTTGCAATATAGATATTCTTATTGCTCAGTCCTTACTTTGTATATATTTCAATAACTTTAGGAGATACAAGTAGTTTTTGATTACATGGATGCATTGTACAGAGACAAAGGGATAAAAAATTCACCCATCAGGTGGACTGGTAGGTACTCTTAAGGCCACTTTAAAAAAAAAAATGTTCTAGAAATATCACAGAATAGCTTAGGGCCTTACTCTTCCCTGAGAAGACTTCTTCTCTCCTCCACAGAGACCTTTCCTGAGGGCCTGATGTGTCCTTACTATCTTTTTTCAGATGTCATGTTACCTTTGGGGTTGACATTGGCCATCCATACTACAATTTTAACCCATCCTTCATCCTTCCTTCCTCTTTCATTTTTCTTTTCCTTCTCCTTTTCTTTATCAGCAATTATCACTAACATACTATAAGTTTTGCCTATTGATGTTACCATAAACTTTTCCTTCTAAAATGTAAGCTCCACAGAGAAAAAAAATATTTTGTGTGTGTATGTTTTGGGGATTTGTTTTGTTTTGTTTTTGTCCACAGTTGCGTCCTAGCAGCTTGTGCAGCACCTGGCAAAGTATAGGTCTCAAAACATACACGTTAAATAAATACCTATACTGTGGCAGTAATCCCTTCAGACAAATCAAGGGTCCAACTAAGCCAGCTCATACCCAAGCAACAACTACTGAAGTGAAGGATGATAGGAGCTTGTGAGGATGGCACACATCTTATAACTTCAGAAGCAAATGAGAAATGAAGTTTTGGCATGGCTCTCTGAAAAGTTAGTTACTCCATTCTAGAGGAATGTTGGTAAAGAAAAAGGGTGTGTCTTCTTTGAGTCATCACTTCAACCTGCTTGAAACAAAACAAAATAGCAACATAATTGTGAAGACTGCCCTGTTATAGAGCTGGTATGCCATTTGTATGAGATTAGCCCCATCCCTAGTGGGAGTGGGCCCATTTAATGGTCCCACCCCACCCCCATCTAAGTGATTGGTTCAGAGATGAGCACATGATGCAATTAGTACCATGAAAGGGAAAGTAAGTCCCATCTCTATGAAGACCCCAAGAGAGGATGTCGTGTGGCAGTTAAGGAAATAGGCTTTAGAATCAGGCTGCCTAGATTAGCAATCCCAACTACACTACTCACCAGCTGATTGATCAAGAGAAAGTTAATGAACTTCAGTTTTCTCTTCTGTAAAATGGGGATAATAATAGTTCACACTCAATAGGGTCGTTGTAAAGATATGAAAGAGAATATAAGACACAGAATTAATTAGCTACAATTATTGCAATTATAGTAAGAAAAGGAAAAATAAATCTTGAGAGAGCACTATATATTAGCAAATGATTCATTCATCAAGTAAACACTCCATGCGCACTTACCGTATGTCAGTTAGAGGTCATGGCGAGTAGAGGAATGAATCAAGATTGAGTCCTGTAGGGAACTGAGGAGCTATACCATGCATGAAATAAATAGTGTAAGACAGTCACTTTTCATAAAGTAAGCAAGTATAGATACAGTGATTTGCGTTTCCAGGAAGGGAAAACTTACTTTACTTAGATGACGTGAACAGTTGATGGAAAATTCACTTGACATTCAGCAAGAAGCATGTCAAATCCTTAAATGTATGGTTTTAACTGTAGCTGTAATAATGATCACTCACCCAAAACAAAACAAAACAAGCAATGACTTGAAGTGTTATATTAGTTCTTCTCCTTTTAAACTTCACTAGTATTGCATGTTTAAACCCTTGTTCACAAAAATACAGTACTACAGATCTTAAAGATTCACTTCCACCCTCTAGCCCTCATCTCTTCCTGGCCAAGCTCAGTTTCTCCCTAGAGGTAACTACTATTACCTAGCTCCATACCAACCCATGTGGTGAATAGACTTCATCATTTAAATGTTCTTACAAAGAGAAATAGATCTGACCTCAGGGACATTTATAACAGTGGGATGGGGCACTTTGTTAAGGTTTTTAAGAACTAGACTATCATTTTATTATCTGAGATTAAGTGATTATTTACATTTATTTATATTCTGGTTTCAGAATGAATTTAAAACATTTTTGAAAGATGCTGAGCACAAGCTTGTGGTGGTTGAATTTTCATCAAAATGGTGTGGTCCCTGCAAAAGGATGAATCCCATTTTTCATGTAAGTACTACCAGTATCTATCTCATAGTTAAAAAATTAGTCTCAAGACATTTTTCCAGGTAATTCTTAAAAGCTTAGCATGTATGACTTATTTGTGGAGCCATAGTTTTTTGAAGCATCCTGATTAACCTGAATATAATATAATGAATCTAACTAGATAACTAGTGTAAACACCAGAAGGTGAATACTGCTTGTTAATGGATAATTCTGTGAGTAACAGCAAGATGTACAAAAGAGTCCAATTGTGCAAATGAGTGGATTTTTTGTGTTGTACTAATGACATTTACCAACATTCCAGAAGTCAGGACTTCCAAGCATTGGACTTCAATACAGATAAATATGATATTTGCTTTTAACTATGACATAAAAGAATAAACTTGCCCCAGTTCTTTAAACTTACTCTCAGATTCAATATAATACCCATCAAATTACCAACATCATTCTTCTCAGACTTGGAAATGACAGAAATTAATATGGACAAAAAAGGGCACAAAGAGCCAAGGCAATAAGCAAAAGGAACAAGGCAGGAGGTATCACACTTCCAGAATTTAAATTTTATTAAAAGGCAATGATAATCAAAACAGCCTCATACTGGTACGAGAACAGGCATATAGACCCATGGGATAGGACAAAGATTCCAGAAGCAAAAACTCAATATCTCAACCAACTCATCTTTGACAAAGCCATCAATAACAACCACTGGGAAGAAGAGACCTTATTTAGTACATGGTACTGGGAAAACTGGCTGACCACATGCTGAAGAATGAAGCAGGACCCCTCCCTATCACCATATACAAAAATCAACTCTAAGTGGATCCAAGATCTAAATGTAAAACCTCAAACTATAAGAATCCTAGAGGAAATTGCAGGAAACACTCTAATGTACACTGGAGTAGGCAACCAATTCTTGATCAGATCCCCAAAAGCAAATGACATAAAGGCTACAATAGACAAGTGGGACCTCATCAAACTGAAAAGCTTCTGCAAAGCAAACGAAACCATCAGGAGAGCAGGGAGACAACCCACAGAATGGGGAAAAAATATTTGCTAATTGCATGTCTGACAAAGATCCAACATCCATCCAATTTGCTATGAAGTCCATGATTTTGTCCTTCTTTATGGCTGTGTAATATTCCAGCATGTATATGTACCACATTTTCTTTATCCAGTCCACTTTCAATGAGCAGTAGGGTTGGCTAATTTGAGCTCCTTATAGATCCTGGATGTTGGATGGAGTTGGAGACCTTCATATTTCGTGATCTATCACAAAAACAAAGAACCGAATACCATATGTTCTCACATATGGACCTGAACATTAATCACAATAGCACAAAGGGAGGGAACAGTAGTCACAGGACACTACCAGGAGGTAGGGGGAGCATAACAACACAAAGGGTATCCAGTCCTAAACCAGGGGAAAGAGGACCAGATGAAGGCCCAAACTTCACCTGCACATAGATTACTTATGTACCTAACCCTGACCTGTACCCCCACATCACTATAATAAAATTATTTAAAAAGAAACAAAAGAAAATAAAGACACAATATGCTAACACCTCTGAGATGCCATAAAATCAGTGCTGACAGGGAAGTTTATAACATAACACGTCTACATTAAGAAAATAGATCTCAAATAAAGGCCTAATGCTGCTAGAAAACTGGAAAAACAAGGGCAAACTAAACCCAAAGCTAGCAGAAGAAAAGAAATAACCAAAGTTAGAGTGAAGCTAAATAAAATTGAGACCAAAAACAAAGCAAAAAAAAAGATCAAGTTGAAAATCTGGTTCTTTGAAAAAACAAATAAGATTGACAGACCTCTGGCCAGATTAACAAAAAAAAAAAAAAAAAAAAAAAGGGAGACAATCCAAATAAATGCAATCAGAAACAAAACAGGCAATGTTACAACCGATATTGAAGAAATACAAAAGATTATCAGAGATTATTATAAACATCTGTATGTATGTAAGTTAGAAAATCTAGGGAAAATGAATAAATCCCTGGAAACACACACCCTCCCAATATTGAAACAGGAAGAAATTGAATCTTTGAACAGTCCAATGACAAAAAATTGAATCAGTAATAAACCTATTTACCAAAAAAACTTTGGACCAGATGAATTTACAGCCAAATTCTACCAAACATTCAAGGAAGAGCTGGTATCAATCCCACTGAAAGTATACCAAGCAACCAAGAAGGAACTACAAAGTCAATATCCTGGTACCAAAAAATGGCAAAGACACAAGAAAGAAAGAAAACTGCAGGCTGATATCCCTAATGAACACAGATGCAAAAAATCCTCAATAAAATACTAGCAAACTGCATCCAGCAGCACATCACAAAGACCATTCATCATGACCAGAATGCAAGCATGGTTAAACATACTCAAATCAAAAAAGTGTAATCTGCCACATAAACAAAAGTAAAACCAAGAACCACATTATTATCTCAATAGATGCAGAAAAAGAATTGTATAAAACCCAATATTCCTTCATGATAAAACTCTCAGCCGTCTAGGCATCAAAAGATTATTCTTCAAAACATTAAGAGCCCACTATGACAAACTCACAGCTAACATCATATTTAATGGAAAGAAGCTGGAAGCATTTCCCCTAAGAACTGAAACAAGACAAGGATTTCTGCTAACACCACTACTATTTAACACTAACCACAAACATACACTATAAGTTCCAAGTAGAGCAAGAGAAATAAATAAAATATATCCAAAAAGGAAAAGAGGAAGTAATGTTATCTTCTTTGCAGATAGTATGATTCATTTCTAGAAAACCGTAAAGATTCCACCAAAAAACTCCTAGCACTAATAAATGACTTCAGTCCCAAAATACAAAATCAATACCCAAAAGTAGCTGCATTTCTATACACTAACAACAAACAGACTGAGAACAAAATCAAGAAGCACAATCAATCCCATTTACAATAGCCACAAAAATAATAAAATATCTTAGAATGCATCTAACCAAAGAGGTAAAAGATCTCTAAAATGAGAGCTACAAAACATTGCTGAAAAAAATAAAAGATGACACAAACAAATGGAAAAACATTTCATGGTCATGAATTGAAAGAATCAATATTGTTAAAAAATCCATACTGCCTAAACCAATCTACAAATTCAACACAAACTCTATCAAACTACCAGCATCATTTTTACAGTTCTAGAAAATACAATAATTAAATTTATATGGAAGCAAAAAAGAGCTCAAATACCCAAAGCAATCCTAACCAAAAAGAACAGAGTCAAAGACACACATTACCAGATTTCAAAGTTTACTACAAGGCTAAAAACAGCATGGTACTGGTATAAAAATAGACACATAGGCACGTGGAGTAGAATAGAGTATTCAGAAATAAAACCACTCACCTACAACCAACTCATCTTTGATAAAGCTGACAAAAACAAGCACTGGGGAAGGATACCTCATTCAACAAATGGTGCTAGGAAAACTGGCTAATCACATGCAGAAGAATGAATCTGGACCCTTACCTATCACTATATACAAGCATTAACTCAAGATGGACTTAAATGTAAGACCCCAAAGTATAAAAATCCTAGAAGAAAGCCTAAGAAACACTGTCCTGGACAACAGCATAGGCAATAAATTCCTGACAAACTCTTCAAGAGCAAATGCAGCAAAAACTAAAATGGAGGAGTGGGACCTTATCAAGTCAAAAATCTTCTGCATAGCAAAAGAAACCATCAACAGTAAATAAACAACCTACAGAATGGCAGAAAATATTCACAAACTATGCATCCAACAAGGGCCTAAAATTCAGAATCTATAAATAAATCAAATGAATCGGCAGGGGGAAAAAACCCATTGAAAACTGGGCAAAGGACATAAACATACACTTCTCAAAGGAAGACATATAAGTGGCCAAAAAACATATGAAAAAATGCTTAACCTCACTAATCATTAGAGAAATGTAAATCAAAACTACAGTGAGATACCATCTCACACCAGTCAGAATGGCTATTATTAAAAAATCAAAAAACAACAGATGTTGGCAAGGTTGTGGAGAAAAAAGAATGCTCATACACTGTTGGTAGGAATGTAGGTTAGTGCAGCCCCTGTGGAAAGCAGTTTGGAAATTTCCCAAAAGCCAAAATAGATTTACCATTTGATGTAACAATTTCACTACTGGGTATATACCCAAAGGAGCATAAATCATTCTACCAAAAGACACTTGCATTCATGTTTATTGCAGCACCATTCACAATAGCAAAGGCATGGAACCAATCTAGATGCCCATCAACAATGAACTGGAAAAGAAAAATGTGATACATATACACCATGGAACACTCCACAGTCATAAAAAAAAAAAAAACAAACAAAAAAACCACAGTCATGCCCTTTGCAGCAACATGTATGCAGCTGGAGGCTATCATTCTAAGTGAACTATCACAAAAGCAGAAAACTGAATATACCACATGTTTTCAATTATAAGTGGGAGCTAAATACTGGGTACCTATGGGCATAAGGATGGGAATAGCAGACACTGGTAACTACTAAAGAAGGAGAGAGGAGGTAAGAGTTAAAAAACCACCCATTGGGTACCATGCTCACCACTGGAGGGCAGATTCAATAGAAGCCCAAACCTTACTACCATACAGTATACCTATGTAAGAAACCAGCACATGTACCACTTGAATATAAAATCTGTTTTAAAAAATGACAATGTCATATCCCTGCATGTTTCTTGGCAGACTTTGAAGTCTCTGAAAACTTCATAAATAGAAACTAGTTCTGGGAATTAGGTGTCCACATAGGCCAAACCCATTCCCATGATTCCTACTGAAGAGCATCCATTTCTCTTCAGACTTGTAAAGGACAAATCAATTGTTCCAGAGTTCTTGGGCAGTAATATTTTCCTGCCAGGCATGGAGATGGTACCAATTAAAAGAAACATCTTTTAAATCTGAAAAGCATTCTAAAACTCAGAGGACTTTGTGCCTGTTATTCAGGGGTTTTTCTCCAATTTCACCGTCTTGATGGTCTACTGAAGAAAGACTTCCCACTTTGGCCACAATACATGGACAAAACAATTAGGGAGAATTTCCTACAATAGAACTCTGCACATATCCATCTAAACACCCCCATGCCATGCTTCTTCCTGGTTTTTCATGGGGGAGTCCCCCAGTGACGGCTCCATCTGTTATTGTCTCCATTTGGCCAAGCTTTGTATATTTCACACCACCATCAGAAGGAGATCTCATTTGAATTGAGTCATTGGAATGATTTTAAGCAAACAAATCAAGATGCTGTCAAGTGTCCTTAGGGATATGATCACAGGTGAGTGAAAAGAAACCCAGGAGCTGCTATTTACAAGTCACTGTTGCTGCTGCTACTATGACATCCTCTTCTCCCAGACCCATGATCAAAACGGTTGGTGGTGACCACTGCCCAAGATGATTCCAGAGCAAAACAGAAGCAGAAAAGAATTCCTTCTTCCCTCCTCTTACTTTCCATTTCCTGAAAATGCTTCCCACAACCTAACTGGAAGTCAGCTAGCAAAGAGTCTAGAAATCTAATTTCAATACATAGTAAAGGACAGAAGACGGCAATGGAGGTGGAAAGCAATTAGCCTAATGGTCAGCATGGAAATGTTGATATCACCTCCAGCAGAACAGCTTTCTATCACTAACACCAGCAGCACCTCCCAAAACGCCTGGCAGGAAGAGAAGGTAGAGTTTGGGTATTTGGTTTAGAGAACTGTATCTTGAAGACCACTGAAGACAGACTCCCCTAAATCCTCTTCCAGGAAAAAGCTGCTATCCCTTCTCTCTGTCCCATAGGGTAAGTCTGGCCCTTCAACACACGTCTTGCTAGAAATGGGGGTCCTGGGGGACACCCCCATCTCCAGACTGGGTTGTCCAAAAACAACAAGAAGACTCGGAGATCAGTAGAGTTAAGCAGCTTTTTAAATGCTCTTGCAAGAATGGGTGTCCCTCAGATGAGCAGGCACACGGAAGAAGTTTCAGCCAGAGTATTTAAACCCTAAAATGCAAGTCCCTCCTCTTTCCCCATAGGCTGGATACTTCCAGAGGTTACATCACTGTCCCGGATGTTACCTACATGTCATATATAGATGGGTTTACATGGTTAGTTTATTTGCATGGCCTATCTATTAATTAGTTAACATAAGTATGACAAACTTATTTTATTTGCATGTCCTATTTGCTGATGGGCTTACAAGATTTTGTTCTAATTGGTTCCCATTTAAGTTTTTTTGTTGCTGTTGTTTTGTGTTTTTTTTTTGAGTTGGAGTCTCACTCTGTCGCCCAGACTGGAGTGCAGTGGCCGCTCCCGGCCACCGCAGCCTCGACCTGCTGGGCTCCGGCGATCCTTCCGCCTCAGCCTTCCGAGTAGCTGGAGCTACAGGCGCGTGCTACCACGCCCAGCTAATTTTTTGAATTATTGTAGAGATGAGGTCTCGCCTGCCCAGGCGGGTCTCGAACTCACGGGCTCAGGCAATCCACTCACCTCAGCCTTCCAAAGGCGCGGGATTACAGGCTGAGTCACCGAGCCCGGCTTCCATTGAAAGTTTAAATGAAAAAGCCTATCAAAGTAAATCCTGCAAAAAGAGAACAAAGAAGCAGGAAGTGACTTAGCAAAAAGCAGTTACGTGCAGCTTGTGGCTTATTGTAAAAATAAATCATTCTTTTCTTACAATCTCATTATTTCTTTGTTTTGTGTCCTTTTCCACCTTGAAACTCCAATCTTCAGTTTGTTTTTCTGACTCTGGTTCTGTCACTGATTCTTGCATCATCTGACTTTGACATCATCTGGCATCTGACTTGGTGCTTCAAGTCCTAGGCAGTAGTGAAATGCCAGAATGATGTTTGTTCTCTATAACATTTCTGTTCACTTCTTGTCTTTGCCAAGACACTTCTAGTTCATATTTTAGTATTAACACTAAACTAATGGGGAATTTTTATTCTCTCATTTTCAAGGCAATGTCTCTGCAATACCAAAATGTATTTTTTGCTAATGTGGATGTGGATGATTCTCCGGTAAGAGTCTTAAATCCTCTATGTAGATACTTAAAATTCAAATGTATTGTAATTGAGTAGCACTGTCTCATTTATTACATTATCAATTTATTTATTTATTTATTTTTTGATTTGGAGTCTCACTCTGTCGCCCAGACTGGAGTGCAGTGGCCGCTCCCAGCCACCACAGCCTCGACCTGCTGGGCTCTGGCGATCCTTCCGCCTCAGCCTTCCGAGTAGCCGGAATTACAGGCAGGCGCTACAACGCCCGGCTGATTTTTTGATTTATTGTAGAGATGAGGTCTCACCAAATTGCCCAGGCAGGTCTCGAACCCGCGGACTCAGGCAATCCACTCACCTCAATCTCCCAAAGGCATGGGATTACAGGCTGAACCACCGAGCCGGGCTTACATTATCAATTTAAAAACAAATCAAATTTTGCATTTTTCTGATAAACTGTACTAAACTCTCTTATAATGCTCTTGTATGTTTTGTATTACTTTTTAAAAATTAACAAATACGCCGGGCTCAGTGGCTCCAACTCAAAAAAAAAAATTAGCAAATATATGGCTCTTCTGATGCTCCTCTCTTCTTTCACTCTGTAGCAGGCCTTACTAGTCAATCCCAACATTCTTCTCCACTTTCTCTGAATCTTTTCCAGAATCCTCAGCAGAGTTGTTCTTGGCAGGTAATACCAATGGGTTGGAGTCAGGTTCAAGGTGAAAAATTATTTTCATCCCCATGATAGATTATTCAATTTCTAAAACCCAACTCAATGCAATCCAGACATCTTAATATGCTTTGCTTTCCTTTTGCTATATCTTATGCTTTTGTGGGTGTACATATATACACATCTCACAAGAAATTTCTAAAATCCCTCTTTCATGTCCCTAGAGCTATCCTTCCTCATTCCACCCTTTCCCCCCCAAAAAAAATCAGCCTCATATCCTCAATCAAAATGTGTCTTACTAATACACACAATGTCTCTAATTATTCTTCCTAATATTTGTTGATTTGTTATGAGAAAAAGTAATAATAAGTGGCCTGTTCATACATTTCATTGAATTTGAGTTTTAGAATGAAAACAAAAAGTTATTTGCCAGTCTGTCTTTTAATGGTTTCACTACCTATTATTATTTAACCTCTATAAACTTCAGTTTTTCATTTGTAAAACAGGGCAGTAATACTTCACAGAAGATAAAATGTGATAAAATACATTAAATATATAACACAGTGCCCAGAGCTTAATAAAAAGTTCCATTTCCCCATTCCCTTCAAGGTACACTAAAGTGTGACAGTGTTTAATTGTCCTTCATGCTGAATCATGTACTATGAACTCATAATACACACCTAGGATCATTATATCTTTATCGTTTTGTAAGTTCACAGAGTTGTACAACAGCACCACAATCACTTATACAATATTTTCATCACTTCAAAAAGAAATACTATACCCTGTTAGCAGTCACAACCAGTTCCTACCAACTGCAAATCTGTAGTCTATCTATAAAGTTTGCTTATTATAATTCTCATAAAAAGAATACGTGTTCTTCAATGATTGGATTTTTCACTTAGCGTAAGTTTTCAAGGTTCATCCATGTTATAAACTATATCAATACTTCTTTCCTTTTTGTCTTGAATAATATTCCATTATATGGATAGACCATTTATTTATTTATCCATCTGTTGGTGGACGTTTGGGTTGTTTGTGCTTTTTGGCAATTGTGATTAATACTGGTATAAGCATTAGTGTACAAGTTTCTGTGTGAGCAAAAGTTTTTCTTTCTCTTGGGTATGTATCTAGGAATGGAATTGATGACCACTTTGTAACTCTATGTTCAACTTTTTGAGCAACTGACAAACTGTTTTCCAAAGCAGTTGCACCATTTTACATTATCACCAACAGTGTATGGGTTCTAATTTATCCCTTCCAAGTACCAACCAGGTCTGACTCTAAGTAACTTATAATATTGGATGAGATCAGGCACACTTAGGATAATACGGCCATAGATGAGTTCTGATTTTACATTCTCTCTAACATGTTATTGCTTCACTTTTTTATTATGGTTCTTTGTCTTTTAAGGTGAAGCAAAATACACACTTGTCTAATAGAAATTTATTTATTAGTTGATGTCATTGGCTCTGATCATAAAAATTATAATTTAGCACGTGCTTATGTGGATGTGGATGTGTGTGTGTGTGTGTGTGTGTGTGTGTGTGTGTGTGTGTGTGTGTTGTCAATAGTGGGGAAATTTAATAACAATAAAATGACAGGTATACTAGAGATGGGTGTCCAATTCTGCTGATCCTGTTGGTGGCTAATTTTCTTTTAACTCCTAAAAAAGATAAACAAAGAACTACCATTTGGAAGTAGTTTGGAATGGATTAAACCAATTGGTAGTCTGGCATCTTTTCTTGTCTTTTGGCTCCGAATCTTTTGCAAAGATGGGCAGTGCAAAGGATGTAGGACTTAAAAGAAAGAAGCATGTAAGCATTACCTAAAATGCTAGACCAATATATCATCCAATGTCTCAAGTGCGAGTTATAAAGATTTGTTTATGATTTCCTATTTTTGCAACAGCAAAAATATTGATCCTTATTGAGATCCATTGGGGCTCCTATTTTTGCAATAGCCAAAATATTGATCTTTGTTGAAATCCATTGGGGCTCCACTGCAATCTTTTATAAGATCCTTTAAATAAAGCTCACTGACCCATTAAGCATCATTCTGTCGTGGCCTCCACCTCTTATCCATCTCCTAGAGTTTGGGGATGAAAAAAATCTCAGGAACTCTGCGGTGACAGTCTGGAGACTTTGAGGATATGTTTACAAGATTCATAGCAGGAGACTGTGGAAAGTGTCAGGTGTCCCTGGGCTTTCAGCCACACATTCTGAGAAGTCACTGAGTAACTTGCTTAGTACAGAGAGAAGACTCCAAAACTGTGACATCATGTCATTTCTTTTATTTCCCAGGAGTTGGCAGAAACTTGTAACATCAAAGCAATACCTACATTTCAGATGTTCAAGCAAATCCAGAAGGTATGCTTCTATGATAAACAGCAGGGTTGAATCAGATTATAGAACCACAGAGGCCCCCTCCTCGCCAAAAAGCCTGGGATATCATGGTTGGATGAAACAATTGCATTTATTTCTAATACTTAGCAAGTAATTCTTAGTTTCTGAGCCTTACATATTGGCAAGGGGTTTTTAAAAAAGCAATGGCAGCTGGGCTCGGTGGCTCAGCCTGTAATCCCGCGCCTTTGGGAGGCTGAGGTGAGTGGATTGCCTGAGCCCGCGGGTTTGAGACCCGCCTGGGCAGCGAGACCTCATCTCTACAATAAATCAAAAAATCAGCCGGGCGTGGTAGCACATGCCTGTAATTCCGGCTACTTGGAAGGCTGAGGCGGAAGGATCGCTGGAGCCCAGCAGGTCGAGGCTGCGGTGGCCGGGAGCAGCCACTGCACTCCAGTCTGGGTGACAGAGTGAGACTCCAACTCAAAAAAAAAAAAAAAAAAAAAGCAATGGCATAATTCAGACCACCTGAAGTCCAAACTCATAAGAATTATCCCACTACTCTGGGACAGAATCATCAAGAAAGAATCTTCCTACTCTGGGACAGAATCATCAAGAAAGAATCTTCCAAAGAAGGACATGATGAAATTCTCACATGAATGTACACAAGTTGTTAACAACATTTGAGGAAATGTTACTCAAAACTATCACATGGCAGGATAACCCAGTGGTTGGACATTCAGATTCTAGATTTATAGTTCCATGGTTCAAATACCAGTTCTGAGGTACAAAGGTACCTTAGATTCTTTATCTATAAGAACATGGATCATAACTAATTTTTTCCCTCATAGGGAAATGAATTAACACAACTAAAGTATTTAGACCCATCTTGGCATTAAGTGCTCAGCATGTTATGTTAGTTATCTTATATATGAATGGAATGAAATGTCTAAAATGCTTGGTATGTGGTAAAACTAATACTTTCATATATGGCTGGGACACTGACATATATGGCTGGGACACTGACTCCTTTAGAAGGTGACTGTACAACACACATAGGAGATACAAAATGTTTATTCTCTTTTACACAATTGAACTTTTGCTACAGAAATACCTCAAGGAAAAACAAACAGTTAAATGTCTAATAATTGTAAAATTATTCTAATTTTTAAAAATAGATGCTATCTAAATGTCTTTTTTCTAGAAATATGACTAAGCAAACTATGATATATCTACTCTATGAAATAGTATGCAGTCTGGGTGCAGTGACTCATGCCTTTAATGCCAGCACTTTGGGAGGCAGAGGCGAGAGGATTGCCTGAGCTCAGGGATTCAAGACCAGCCTGAGTAACATGGCGAGACCTTGTCTCTACAATAAATTTAAAAATTAGCCAGGTATAGTGGCATATGCCTATGGTTCCAGCTACTTGGAAGGCTGAGGTGGAAATATTATCAGAGCCCAGCAGGTTGAGGCTGTAGTGACTGTGAGCATGCCACTGCACTCCAGTCTAGGTAACAGAGTGAGACTCCAACTCAAAAAAAAAAAAAAAAAAGAGGAAAGAAAAAGAAATAGTATGCAAATAAAAAATGTTATAAAGAGCATATGTAAAGTAAAAAAATTGGATGCTTAAGCTTTGTCAAGATCATATCTGCAATGTGAAGATGAGAGCATTTGACAGTATGCTGGCTGTAGAATTTTATTTTCCATTTCTATTTGCTTGTATGTAATTATTGCTATATAGTTGGTAACATAGGTTTAAACATTTTTTTCAAATAAGAAACCACACTATATATTCTCTCCTTTGGGTTTTTACTTGAAATTGGAAGCTATTTAACATATTTACCCTCAACTCTCCACATCTATTTGTCAATTGGTCTATGTATCATCTTTTATTATCTTCTCCTTCTCTCTCATCTCAGAAATGAGGATGCTCCCTCTTTTCGAAATCAATTCCATCCATGCACCTTGAGTACATTCCCTTCCTTCTGTTTCAGCCCTCTGTTAGTCACCTTCTTTCAACTTTAGAGTTTGGAGACTTGTTTCTGCCACCCAGCATCCATTCTCCATTCTCTATTTACAATACTCTGATTTTCCTCCAAGGAACCACCCATTCTTAGCCCATGTGCTTCCTTAGGTCTCTATCTGCATTCCTAGACCAATCTGTGGACTCTATTCCTGCCAGACATGGGCCTTTAACTCTAGTCAAGCCAATCCAAACCAAGCCAGAACTACTTTCAGAACTCTGCTTAGGCCTTCTCTCTTGATATCACTGGGTTTGAATTTAAAAAGATATGAGACTGAAATTACCACAGTCAACTTGTTACCAAGAACTTGAAAATGGATCTGTAAAGGAATCCACCATACAGAGGAAAGTAGAGTCAATTCAAGAGGTACTAATGGCATTGATTTAACCCTGAATCTATCCATGCCTGAAACCTGAACTATCCCCATAAATTTTTCAGTTATATAAAGTTTATTTTGGTATTTCTGTCACTTGCAACCAAAAAAATTCTAATGAATGGATCTGATGTTCTCTTAGACTCTCAGATGTTCTCTCAGACTCTCCTTCATTTCATGGTCTAATTCTTAAAAGAGTAAAATATACTTACAGTCTCCAATTCTCATTTTTCCCTTATTCCTTTATCTATCTATTCTCTTGTAAGTCACCAAAGATCTCCCTGCAACTCATTTAAATGTTCATTTCTCAATTCTTTTTTTTTTCTTGGTTATAAGAAGCACCATTAACTAACAGCTTCTGTATTCTAGAAACTTCCTCCTCTTTTGGCTTCTATTTCAGGTCCCTCTCTAAACTCTCCTCTAGCTTCTTTGTTTTCTAGTATATTCAAATGTAAGTGTTCCCCAAGGTCCTATCCTTTTCCCATTCTTAATTTCTCTCCTTTAGCAATTTCATCCCTACTTTTATAGTTCCAGCTATAAATACTTTTTACTTAGACAATTGCAATAGCTCTCCATACCCTCAAGTTAGTGTCACAGCTTTGTTCTCTTTTCCCAATAGATCTATGCACAGCCATGTATGTCATTCTTTTATTTAATATTTCATGGCCCTCTTCTTGCATTACTTACAGAATCAAAGCTAAACTCCTGTATTTAAGGCTGCTATTCCAGTTTCTCCATAATTTTGACCCAATCTACTATTCCATTCCCTTTCCTATTTAATTCAGTCCTTAACTTCATTTGTTTTCTCAGACTATTTCAACACCTGGAGGAGTTCATGTCTAATTGAAAGCTCAGTTTCTAGAAGAATTCAGGTGGATAGAAAACACTCATTATGTGTGTGATGAATGAATGAGTGAATGTTCTGTGTTCCTCTTGCATCCCAGTGCCAGTCTGCCTCTTGTCCTAATTTTATCATGGCTTCAGTCTGACTCAGGGCAGTTTTCTCTCCAGCTCAGTACAGTTTTCTGGTTTCATTTCTTCTGCTTGATTATATTGCTTGGTAGCTGCTGCCACTCAACAGTTTTTACTCATTTTATGATGATATAAGACTCTGAGTTCTCAACTTGATTGTGTGTCTAGGCTCTTGAGCAAGTCCAAGTGATGCTTTTGAGGAAAGGCTTGGCCCTTCTTGGCCCCAATTCTGTATGAAGATAAAGGTGCTTTTATTAAGAAGGGGAGAAGGGACACATAAACAATTATGTCATAATGAGTTTCTAAAGAGTATAAAATCTCTTTTAAATTGATAGCACAAAAGGCCTGCATTCTAGGGATCACTAAAGATCTCAAGTTTGAATTGTTTGCCCAGTAGCTATTGGAAAATAGAATGAACCTAGCTGATGACACTGTCCATTAAGATAATCTACTTCCCTGTATTATAATTCCAGTATCACCCAACAAGCCACTGATTATAAAGTAGATATTCATGCCCCAAGAATTTTTCCTGAGGATCAAATTTCTCATTGAATATTACTAACTTAGCATCCTGATTATGAAGTTAAAAAAATTATGTCACATTATACTATTGAGTCTGCTTCTAAACAGATTATGAAGTTAAAAAAAATTATGTCCTTTGGGAGGCTGAGGAGAGTGGATTGCCTGAGCCCGCGGGTTCGAGACCCGCCTGGGCAGCGAGATCTCATCTCTACAATAAATTAAAAAAAAAAAAATTAGCCGGGCGTGGTAGCGCGCACCTGTAATTCCAGCTACTCGGAAGGCTGAGGTGGAAGGATCGCCGAAGCCCAGCAGGTTGAGGCTGCGGTGGCCGGGAGCGGCCACTGCACTCCAGTCTGGGCGACAGAGGGAGACTCCAACTCAAAAAAAAAAAATTATGTCACATCATACTATTGAGTCTGCTTCCTGACAGATTCATACTTGGATCAATGTAGATATTATTTGAAAACCTCCAGAAAAGTTTGTAATACTGGCAAATAATATCAATCTTCTATGCAAAAGACAAGGGCCACAAAAAAAGAGAAGGAAATCCCAAAGAGGCAAATCATTCACCTCTTGTGACTCAACCTTCAGTGTTTGGCATCTGTGCGGGCACTATAGGAGTCAGCAAGGTCTCCATCTCTACCATTGCCTCCAGACCTGCAAAACTTCCTCCAGGTTCCACCTCACAGTGATCTGCAAAGAAAGTCCCTGGTACCAGAGAAGGCTTTGTGTTGCCAGACAAAAAAGACTTGTTCATGTGAATTTCCTTCCTCTTTCAAAAGAACTGACTAACAAGGCTTTCATGAGCAGCCAGTGTTTTCCTTGGGGGGTGAGAAGTGAGAAAAATCAAATTCACTTCTTTGAACCACCTCCATAAATGTACTCCTCTCTTTTATCTGGGACAGCACAACTGAAAATGGCTTATTGAAGCAGTTGAGTACTACATATCTGTTATTCTGTTTAAAAAATCAAACCTCTAGTCTAGTTTCTATTAAGACTTGTTACAAGAACTGTCTTCACATTTCTGGTAAAACATCTGGCAAAGAGCCATTTACCCATTATGCCTTTTTAGATGTACCTTGTATTAAAAGCTTTGTGATAATTCCTCCCAGAACACAGAATTAGGAGGATAGTT